ATTCCCACAGTCCAACACATGCTGTACAGGTGAATTGGGTAGGCTAAATTGCCCGTAGTGTATGAGTGTGTGTGTGTGTGTGTGTGTGGATGTTTCCCAGAGATGGGTTGCGGCTGGAAGGGCATCCGCTGCGTAAAAACTTGCTGGATAAGTTGGCGGTTCATTCCGCTGTGGTGACCCCGGATTAATAAAGGGACTAAGCCGACAAGAAAATGAATGAATGAATGAATGAATATTTCCCAATTGTTGCTAAGCAGAGAGATGTCTTTCAAAACATTTGTAGATGACAGTTTTAATAACTCGTTTATCTTGTGTTCGCCATAATGACAATGCATTACATTTTTCTTCCTAACATGCAAGTAAGCTTAACTGGGCAAGCTATTGGTTTCCCAGTACTGGGTTGCAGCTGGAAGGGCATCCACTGTGTACAACATATGCTGGAATAGTTAGTGGTTCATTCTGCTGTGGCGACCCCTGATGAATAAAGGCACTAAGCCGAAAAGAAACTGAATGTATGAATGAGGCAAGCTAGTGGATAACAGGAGCTTGTTCTGTAGCCAGGCCAGAGAAATCAAACGTGAGTGAACAATCCTGACCTTAACAAGGTTTTAAAAAACTAAAGCTGCTTTTATTCCAGCTTTATTTATTGTTTTTATTATTTTATTCCACAACGCAAATAAGCATAAAATCAAGTGTCAAAATGCAAATCTATTTAATCTCAGTTGATTACTAAACAAAAAGTCAACAAACACATCAGAGATGCAATTCTAAAGTTACGCGTTTACACTGGATTTTGTATCTCTACACTGCATGGACTACCTTGATGTCAAAACAACGTCTAATTGACATCTAACATTGGTGTCAAAATCTATTGAAGAACAGTCTGCTAATCAAGTTTGGCATATTTTTAACCGCAATGTTAGATGTCACTTTGATGTTGTTTTAATATCAAGGTAGTTTAAAGGCAAAAGCAGTGTAAACGTGAAACTTTATAATTGAAACTTTCAGGAGAATAAAACTCTATAAACTATATTAACACTTACATTAAACCCCACTTATATCAATCAAAGGTGAACAATAACAAGTAAAATCTCTTCTATTTTGTTTAGAAGAAGAAAAGAAAAGAATAAATCGTGAGATCATTCGAGGTTTTTGATTATCTGTACCTTTAAACCTGTGAAAACAAATGACTATTCACTTTAAACGTGCTGGATTTCCAACCCAAAGTTGGAGTAAACTATGAAGAAAACCAAGCCATGGGTTAAATGATGATAATAATTGAACATTGATTGGGTTTGTGCATATTGTAAGCGTGTTGAAATCCCCACACTGTTATTAATGTTGTGTAAATGTCTCTGGGTTAAATCCAGTCATTTACACACAGGTGAAAACTTTCACCACACACTGTGAGTCATGAGTCATGAGCTTCACTCGCTGAGCCACAGAACACCGCTGCTCTGAACCACTTCATCACTCAACTTCTGGCTGAAAGCATCCACTAAAGGAATGAAAGTCAATGCATTTTGACTGTCTTCATAAGTCCTTTAAATTATATTTAAAACATTTCAGTGCTGCTGATAAATTTCATTCATTTTCTTTTTATTTATTTATTAAATAAATAAATAAATAAAATTAATTTATTAATCAGGGGTCGCCACAGCATAATGAACTGCCAACTTATCCAGCATATGTTTTACACAGTGGATGCCCTTCCAGCTGCAACCCAGTACTGGGAAACACCCATACACACTCATACACTACGGCCAGTGTAGTTGATCAGTTCCCCTATAGCGCATGTGTTTGGACTGTGGGGGAAACCGGAGCACCTGGAGGAAACCCACGCAAACACAGGGAGAACATGCAAACTCCACACAGAAACACCAACTGAGCCGAGGTTCGACCCAGCGACCTTTTTACTGTGAGGCGACAGCACTACCTACTGCACCACTGCCTCGCCAGGAAATATTTTAAACAGAATTAAAATTTTTATAGGGGTGTCACGGTGGCTCAGTGGTGTCGCACTGTGGCCTCACAGCAAGAAGGTCGCTGGTTTGAGTCTCGGCTGGGTCAGTTGGTGTTTCTGTGTGGAGTTTGCATGTTCTCCCTGTGTTGGCGTGGGTTTCCTCCGGGTGCTCCGGTTTCCCCCACAGTCCAAACACATGCGCTATAGGGGAACTGATCAACTACACTGGCCGTGGTGTTTGTGTGAATGAGTGTGTATGGGTGTTTCCCAGTACTGGGTTGCGGCTGAAAAGGCATCCACGGTGTAAAACATATGCCAAAATAGTTCATTCCACTGTGGCAACCCCTGATGAATAAAGGGACTAAACTGGAGAAGAATAAATGAATGAAATGTGACAGGCTAATCATTTCACCTTCACCCGTACACATGAACACATGAGCAGTATTTGCTGGTGCGCTCACTGATGGATGATTGTTCTCCACAGAGGAGGCCGAGATGATTCTGCGTGAGTTTCGTCAGGATGTGGATAACGCCACGCTCCAGAAAGCCGATCTGGAGAAGCGGATCGAGCAGCTGGTGGCGGAGATCGAGTTCCTGAAGAAACTGCATGATGAAGAGGTGGCTGACCTTCTGAAGCAGATCGAGGACTCCAAGGTGACGGTGGAGCTGGACTCGGACAGACCCGATCTGGCTGCATACCTGAGAAACATGCGTGCAGAGATCGAGAGCGTCGCCGCTCGTAATGTCCAGGAGGCCGAGAAGTGGTACAAGGGCAAGTTCGACACGCTGAAGGAGCAGGCCAACAAACATGAAGACCAGATGAAGAGCAAGAAGGACGAGATCCTGACCTTCCACAACCAGGTGAGCAACCTGAACCACAGATTAATAACTCGCTTTTTAACTCATGAGGTGTCCGCTCTTTCATCAGCTCATTCACATTGATGTGATTGGTTACACTAAATCCATAATGTGATCAGTTACGCAATTGAAAACACAATAGGATTGGTTGCATCACAAAAACCATAGTATGATTGATTGCACCACTAAAAACTAATGTGATCAGGTGCACCACTAAATCCATAATATTATTGGTTGCGACATAAAAACCATGTGATTGGTTGCACCACCAAGTCCGTAATGTGATTGGTTACAAAACTAATAACTATAAAGGGATTGGTTATAATGTGATTGGTTGCACCTCTAAATCTGTATTGTGATTGGTTCACCATTAAAAACAATAATATGGTCGGTTGCACCAAAATGCAATATTATTGGTTGCGCCACTAAAACGTGATCAGTAGCACCACTAAATTTGTAATGTGATCGGTTGCACCAATAAAAACCATAAAATGATTGGTTAAAACATTTTTAAAAACGCCTTGTGATGAGTTGCACCACTACAAACCATAATATGATCGGTTGCACCACTAAATCCATAATGTGATTGGTGGCACAAACAAACAAAACTAAAAACTGCACCTTTAAATTTGTAATGTGATCAATTACACCATTATAAAAACACAATAGGATTGGTTGCACAACTAAAAACTATAATGTGATTGGTTGCACCACTAAATCTGCAATGTGATTGGTTCACCATTAAAAACCATAATATGGTTGGTTGCACCACAAAATATCGTAATGTGATTATTGCCACAACTAAAAAAAATTGATCAGTTGCACCATTTAAAAATGCAATATTATTGGTTGTGCCACTAAAAACATAATGTGATTAGTTGCACCACTAAATCTATAATGTGATCAGTTGTACCATTAAAAATGTGATATTATTGGTTGCACCATTAAAACATCATATGATGGGTTGCACCACTAAAAACCATATTGTGATTAGATGTTGCATCAAAAAACAATCATGTGATTGGTTGCACCACTTAAAAACCGTAATGTTATGAGTTGCACCACTAATGTGACTGGATCACCCAATTAAAAAACACATATAGTGATCAGCTGCACCACTGAAACCTTAATGTGATCGGTCGCACCACTAAAAACCCTAATGTGACTGGTTGCCCCACTCCAGGTGACAGAGCTGCAGAACCAGATCGACGGTCTGCGGGCGCGTAACGGTGCGCTGGAGACGCAGCTGGAGGACATGGAGGCGGCTCACCTGGAGAAGGTGTCCGCTCTGGAGGCAGTCATTGCTCAGCTGGAGAACCAGCTCTGCGAGACCAGGATGGAGATGGGGAAATACATGGCGGACTATCAGGAGCTGCTGCACATCAAGCTGAAGCTGGACGCTGAGATCGCCACCTACAGGACACTGCTGGAGGGAGAAGAGCAGCGCCTCGGCATCGCCATCACTGAAGGTCAGACCACAGTACAGAGCATTTACTGACTGGAACAATCCTCTATATAGACATCTGATACAGGGAAATACATACACATAACACAGAGGAAGGGCATATTTTAACAAGACCTGTGATAATACACATTATTGAACACGTACACACACATCACCTATATACTAGAGCTGCAGGAATAATCTGAAAAAGATTGCCATCTCGATTCGACCCCCAAGACGATCTTAATCCAGCACTTCTACGATTTTTTCTTGATAGTGACTGTTTAACAGTGTCAGTATAACTCCTCTAGCCTACACTCTCAGAAATAAAGGTACAGGAGTCGTACCTTGGGGGCAGAACCTTTTCAAAAGGTGCATATTTATACCCAGAGTCCACAGTGGCACCTCAGAGGTGTATATTAGTACCCAAATGTACCTGAAAAGTACCTTTGAGGTATCATTATGGACTCTTCAGGTACAAATATGCACACTTTGAAAAGGTACCTTTATTTCTGAGAGTGTATATAGTGTTGAACATAATGCAAGAGGAAATCTGATAATGACAAATGTCTGATAATAAAGGGTCTAATAATGTTGTCAATGACAATGTCCCAAACATAATAATTCAGCTTTAGAATGATCAATATTCTGATGTCATCATGTTACTGTGCAAATAATAATAACAATAACATATTACCCTTTATTTACATCTACAGAATCGTGAAAACCCTGATCTTTATTTTAAGCTTTAATTGTTAAATCTATGATGTACTGGTTATTTAGCCCATCGTTGATTCTGTTTATTTACCTGTGTAAATGTGTGTACATTTATATTTAATTAGTTTTTAAATTAATTACAGTAATATTATTGACATATGAAAATGTTCATCTGTTTTATTTACAATATACTTTAAGTCTTATTTTCTGCCTTCTAGTAGAGATATTATGAGAGGCTTGCTTTGTTTAAACTGGATTTGCATTGTAAACTAAATAGAAGTTAAAAGGTTTTACTTTTTATTTCATATATTAGGGTTTTAGTTATGATACTGCTAAAATAATTCCACAGATTTTTAATACAATTCTGCGCAGAAATAGCAACAATTGTCCGCAGATTCCGTCTGGCCCGAGTTATTAGTAACTAATAGAGTTATGGTAAATAATAACCTTGACTTTTCTGATTTTGACTGATCTGTAGAAATCGCTGTACAAAATGACTTGTGCATTTATTAAATGAATCTATATGCAACATATATTTCAAAACACTGCATATATTCAATACAATTGTGTTCATAAATGGCCATTTATCAACATATCTAAATTATAGCTTACATATTTGAACATGTACATATTTGTAATTCCAATGGTTTTTCCAACATTTATGTAAACTGCAATGCTATTATGCTATTAATTGATGTATAGATGATATATTTTATAAATATAAAATCCAAAAATATAAACTTCTCAATGTCATACGTGTAATTTGCATTCGTTTCTGTCGGCATGTGTCCATGGGGTTAAATTTGAGAGACAGTTCTGCATGTTAAAGTTCATGATTTAAATGCGCAAAATGGCTTGTTGCTTGCACATGAACAATTCTGCATGAAAAAGATGATGTTCCGAGCAAACTCAGTGCACAAAATAGCTTATTCTAAATGTGCTAAATGAACTGGTGCATGTGTGTTAACTCTGTGCAAAAGATCATGTTTAGAGTGTGCAGAATGACTTATTGCATGCTCAAAACTAGAGGCTTTGTGCACAGAATTAAACAATGCATTTAACATGATCTTTTGCACAGAGTTAATGTGCACACAAGACATTTCACATGCTCAGAACATGACTTTGTTTGCACAGAATTCTTAATGTGAAAGCAACAAGTCATTGTGCACGCTCAAAAGGTGATCTTTTACACAGAATCGTGTCACAAATCTAACCCCACACATCACACGACTGGCATGGTTATAATCGAGCGCGCTGGACTGTACTCAGAGTGAAGCGATGCCGTTCTTTGTGAATGAATGTAATGTGTGTTTGTAATGTCTGTCGTCCTGCAGTGAGCGAGAGCAGCTCTGTGTCCCGCAGTGTGGAGACTCACAGCACCACCATCGCCTGAGGGAGAAACACACAACCGTCTGCTAGAACACAACCCGTGTCACTGAATGAAGCTGGATTTCACTGCACACTTGTCAACTTTATGCTTCATCATGAGTCCTCAGTTTTTCTGAACTGATGAAATTAGAAACGCTAGTGTTTTTGACCCGCACGTCTTTCAGAGTCTTCATTAAATGCATGATGCAAAAATTACAACTCTGTCATCATTTACTCTCTATTCTTGATCCAACCTGTTTGAGTTTCTTCTCTCTGTTAAACACCTTATTTTGGAGAAAGCTGGACAGCTGTAAGCGTTGACACATAGTATTTGTTTTTCCTACAATGGAAGTCAATGGTTACAGGTTCCCAACATTCTTCAAAATATCTTCTTTAGTGTTCAGCAACACAAGAATATGTGAAATGGCAGGTTTTCATTTTTGGGTGAACTGTCCCTTTAACTCTTCCCTAACCAGCATTTTTTTTGCATGATTTTTCACCTGAATTTGACATGAACATATAAGCTTAATATATATAAAAATAAACATGATATTCTGTTGAGTTCATGTTTTACCACTATTTGAAAGCAGACGGCTCATCAAAAGCAAACAAAAAATGCTGTACTTTTTTTTTCCAAAGACTTGCAGCAG